TTTATTTTATAGTCCAACTCCAAAGACAAAAAAAAAACAGACATCATACAAAAGCTCTGGCAGAAACTTGAGTACGGAGCAACGGAGCATATTAATGTTGCACAGCAAATGACTGTAATACCCATAAATTCATATCACCATAAAACATAAATAAGAGATCAATATTGGGGTATACATTTACTCAACATATTGGGGGTATGCATTTCCACCAAATAATATATTAATATGGGGTCTACATATATTATTATCATTTACTATATTGATTCGAATGCCGTACATTTTTCCTTTTAAAAGTGGCGCCTTTTAAGGTAGAATGTTTATGATTTGATTAATATCGCATCAAAATTAAATGTGTGTATATATATATAATTTTTTATATAGATTAAACAATTAAAAATAATAAATTATTAGTAATATTCATTATTCAAGTCCTACCGTCTAAAGCTGCTTAAAAGAAATAAAATTTATATAAGAGACTATTTATTCTGTATGCTTTTTAATTTTATATTTTTTTAATTACATTTAACGATTAAAAATTAATCTTACTCACAGATAAAACCCACCAGAGAAAGATTTAAAAAGTATTTAAAGAAACAAAATTAAAGTTCTGGGTCCGGGGAGGTGGGCGCAGAAGCTAGCGTAAATGAATAGGAGCATGAATTTCGCTGCGTTTGCAGAAGAAAAAGCGAAAACTCGAGCTATTACTGTTATGTAAAAAAGAAAAACCCGCGTTTTTTTTTTTTTTTTTTTTTTTTTTTTTTTTTTTTTTTTGCAGAGAAGGGCTCCAATTTCCATGGTTTGAGTTTTGTCTTGGCATCAGAAAAAATAGACGTTGGAGAATCGTACACTGTTGCTTCACACGTTGTGCTCTACTCACTAGTCAGACACTGTTTTATCTATAATATAACTCCCTCATTCAGGTCTATATATTTTTTTTGTAAATAACATCTTTTAGAAAGGACATCTTTTTGATCCACAGATCAAAAACTATAGCCCGTTTAATTTATTAATTTGAATTGAGAGCTTTTTATTGTAAAAAAAAATTAAATGTGATTATTTTTGAGAACTTTTTACTATAATAAATTTAAATTCTAAACTCAAATTGTTAAAATGAACTAATTCTGCTATTTTTTTTTTATAAAATACAAAAAAAAAAAAAAAAACTAAACTGATTCAGCATCTTTGTAATTTTACCAAGGGGGATAAACCTAGTAATTGTTGGCCAAGTTTCATTGGGACAAATCGTTTTGGATTTAGTGAGAAATATTTTCCTCTTCTTTTTTTCCCAATATTTTCTAAATGAATTCCATTCTTTTTTTTTTTTAAAGAAACTGAGGAATTCTAGTTTGAAAAGTTAGGTGCTATTTTGCCCCCATCCCTTTCGTTATTTTTAAATTTTAGAGGTCACTAATAGAAAGGAAAAAATCTGACCCAATTTTATTCAAAATATGAACCCAGTTTTCACTTATCTCATACATTGGTCGGGTAGAATTCTTAAAGTGGGATTGTAGAATATTAAATGCTGCGTAAGAAGCATAAAGAAATACATACTTACCACTGAATCAACTCATTAATGGCAATTCCATTCTATTTGTGTAATGTGGAAGGCTGTAAATAAGTGGTAGAGCTAGAAAAGTTATTTAATAGAGACACCATAAAAAAAAATTTGAACGCATTTTTTTTTTGGGCATAAATTGAAGGCATTTTTTCATTGAATAAGAACAATATATTTTTATACTTCAATTTTTAAAGCACAGTTATAACTTTTTTACATATAAAGTAAGGACACAACTGAGAAATTATATAAATTTTAGAAATAAAAAATCAAAATTTCAAGATTTGAGTGGAGCATGTGTGCCATGTAGCCCCTTAATGGTTCCTACGCTACCTGTCTGGTACTACGAGCTTTTTTATCAATTAGAATGTCAAGTAATAACATGAGCTTTTTTTTTTTTGGGGTAAACAAACAAATAATATTTTGTTTCTAGAATAATAATAAGGCAAAATTATATTGTAGGGTAATTTTATGATAATATAACAATTTCGTGTACACAATATTTATTTGAGAATTTTATTTTAGTCCACAGGTGGAAATGGTTATTTACCGGTTTGTGTTTCTTGTAGTAGGAGTTATATTCGAGTTTTCAATTCGAGCTGAGATGTGACATTTCTGAGAGCTTTTCACTGTAGCAGAAAAAGTTAAATGTGATATTTTCTGAGAGTTTTTTACTGTAAAAATCTAGAACTGAAAACTCGAATCGGTGAAATGAACGAGGCCGGATATGATTTGGTGTCTGTAAGTACGCCTTCATCATAAAGAATATTTTCTATTTGAAAAATAAAATTACCTATTTATCCTAAGTTTGAGTTGTTTGAAAGATATGTGTCAAATAAACTCCTTTAAAAAAAGTGCAAAATGAAACTGTTCTAACTTGCTACGACAATGTACAAAAAATTATCTTTTTTATTCTTAACGCATTAAAATAACTACACATATAAAATTGACAATCACAGTGATCTACATAAACACCCTTTCAACTTACTTTTTTACTAATAATTGAATACACAAAATAAAAAAAAAATCCTGAAAAAAGTAGGAAAATGAAAGAAAAAGAACTTATCTCTGTTTTTTTAAGAGAGAATAGTTGGTGGAGCTGGGGAACTTTTTCTGACGCTATGTTTGACAGGAAGGAGTAGAGGGAGGGAGAGGGGCGGAAGGAAAAAGTGAATCTATTATTTGGTTGAAGGGAAAAGATGAGACATGGAGGGAGAGAGTTTTTCTTTTTGCGCTTATTAATTTAGATCTTTTCATTTTCAATCAATCTACTTAAATTTTAAATTAAAAAGACTCTTTTATCTTTTTAAAAAAATTATTAATAAATAGTAAAATAGATAATATAATAATTAGATAAATAAAAATCATCTAATATTTCAACTCCTCATCTCTTCTACCAAATAATAAAAAAGATTATTAATAATTATATTCATTCTTCATATTTCTCATCCCTCAAACTCTTTTCATCATTCCTTCTCCATCCCTCTTACTAAACAAAATCTCAGGTTCTGTTTGGTATGAGAGTTCAAACTAAGGTGGTTTGAACCTTTAACCATATGGATTTTGAATTGTGGGGTTTGAATTGAGGTTCAAACCATTTGAACTATGTGTGGTTATAACTTGGGGTTCAAACTGGTCAAAACTGAGGGGAGGGGTGATTTTATTTTTGGGGTTCAGCATTGTTAAAATACCACATTAGGATTTAAACCTTTAATATTTTCTCTTTAAACTAAACATTGATTTTGTTGGACTAGGTTCAAATCACTTTTTACTTTTTACAAACAAACAATGATTTAAACTTAAACCATGATTCAAACATTGAGAATCCTCAAACTAAGCATAACCTAATCATGGAAAATAGAATAAACAAAAGAATGCGATAAAACAATAAATTTCTCTACAAATATGTTGATTGTATAATGTTGAAGGGATGAAATTGTTATTTTAGACATATTTTAGTTATTGGACTTTTTTTAAGGGGTTATCAAGCATATTTAAAAATCAAGAAAAAACTCCAATGTATCAAAATCAAGAAACCCATAACAACACGGTCCTACAAAACATCGCAAAAAAAAAAAAAAAAAATCTAATAGATTGAAAACACAACCTTAACACTTGAAAAACGATACAAACACACTAACAAATTGTTATAAAACTATAGTTATGACAACAAAATGCAAAGAAAAACCTCAAAACACTGCTGCCAAAACTTTCGGTAATGAGATGACCGACGAAACGAAACGAGGAGAGGCACCGGACTCTAAGAGACACACGGGGATGTTGATTCACTGCCCGAACAACGGCATATGAAACCATTAATGCTCCACCACCGCCTCCCCTAAGAAATGACGCTGCCACCACCACAAGTTGACCATTGCGCGGATCAAAACCCTGAAATACATTACAAATTTTGTGTTTCCTTTTCAAGCTTATATGATCTATTATAAATGGTCAAATATGATTTCTTAATAAATTAGATAGCTGACAAAAAAAAAATTTATAACAATTAATAACATTAAATTTTTATCATACCATATCATTAATTATATATATATATATATATATAATCTTGCACATTCATTTTTTCTCGAGTGTCACACTAATTGTTTTTTTGGGGCAAATAGCATTAATTCCTTACCTTAATTATTAATATGTGCAATATTCTCGTAAGTCTCACATGGGTCCCATGTCAAAGACTCATGTCCAGTTATGTCTACCATTTTAACAGTCATGACCCCTAAATTTATAAAAAAAGGCTTGTATGGACGTTCATTAATTTGCACTATAACAAAGCTTGGTTATGGAATCAATATTACGTATAAAATCCCAATTTTTTTTATAGGAAAATGAAAGGGAAACATTCAAACAAATATTTTACGAATGAGATATTACGTAGGATTCAACTAGAGCTAGAAATGATTCAACAAAATAACGTACTCAGAAAAGAGAAAATAAGTAACATAAATGTCCCTTATAACATCATGATTCATGATACTCTTTCTTTTTGACTGAAAAAAAAAAAAAAAAAACAAACGAATAGTTCTGTTCTCTTTGATTTTCTCTCCTTTTAAGGAAAAATATTTAGTACCTTGGTAAGAAAAGATGATTTATTTGTTGAAAAAGAAAAAACAACCAACAACCAATAGTTTACCCTTTTATTCATTGTTTTTCCCTTTTTGGGGTTACAAGTGTGTGAAGCACTGAAGTAAAGTTGAGCTGGAAAAAATTAATGAAAACTTAGGCAACGGTAACATTGAGTTTGGAAGTTCCTTAAGGGGCAGACTTGGGAATATGAAAAAAAAAGATAACGGAACTTTTCTAATGAAAAAAGTTGAGTTAAGAGGGAAAGAAAAAGAAACACAGTCACACACATATAGATACACATATATAAACCAGAAAGAAAGCAGCTTAGTGGCCATTTCCTCTTTGCTTTCACACACATTTCTTCACAACTTAAAACTTCAGAACTCCCTCTCTCTGTCTCTCTAATCTTTTTCTTTTGCTTTCTCTCTCTGCTTTTCACCATCATTGACGCTTATCTCTCTCTCTCTCTCTCTCTCTCTCTCTAACTGATAACTGATACTTCCAGATTCTATTACTTCAAAGCAATCTCCGAGACCATTTTTCTCTCTTGTTTGATTCATTTACGGAGTACCCATTTGGATTTAGACCCATGGCGGCGCCTAAACCAGAAGAGATAACTCATCCACCAATGGACCAACTTCAAGGCTTAGAATATTGTATTGACTCAAACCCATCTTGGGGTATGTCAATATTTGGTCTTTTATATATAACCTCAACTCTCATTTCATTAACTAATCCATCTTTCAGAACTGGGTTATTTATTTTTTTGTTTTTCTCATTTTTGTACATGTGAAAAAAAAAACCCCACAGGGGAGGCTATAGCTTTGGGTTTCCAGCACTACATTTTGGCCTTGGGAACTGCAGTGATGATCCCTTCATTCCTTGTTCCTTTAATGGGTGGAAATGATGTGAGCTCATTTTCCACAATGGAAATTTATATCTTTTATTGTTATCATTATTATTTTCCTTCGGTTCTGATCATTGAAAAACAATTTTCCTCTAATCAGGATGATAAAGTGAGAGTAGTACAGACTCTGCTCTTTGTTGAAGGAATCAATACACTTCTACAAACACTTTTCGGAACCCGATTACCGACTGTCGTCGGAGGGTCTTATGCATTCATGGTTCCGATCATATCCATTATCCATGATTCTTCACTGACTAGAATTGAGAATGATCACATTGTAAGTTCAATCTTTTTTTGTTTTTGGTGTTAAACTTGTCCAATGGAGATCCCTGTTTTGTTTGCTATCCTGGTGTGAAAACTTAAATGGATGCACATTGTAGAGATTTCTTAACACCATGAGAGCAGTACAAGGAGCTCTAATAGTAGCTTCAAGCATACAAATTATTCTAGGATACAGTCAAATTTGGGCCATTTGTTCCAGGTATTTTTCCTTAAAAAGATCAATGTGTCCTTTAAAAAAATAAATACAAAAAAAAAAAAATCAATATGCAAACACAAGATTGGTACTTCTTATTTTACTTAATAAATAAAATCTCTCTCTCTCTCTCTCTCTCTCTCTCTCTCTCTCTCTCTCTCTCTTATATTTACAGGTTCTTCAGCCCCCTTGGAATGGTTCCAGTTATTGCATTAGTGGGTTTCGGTCTGTTTGATAGAGGCTTCCCAGTGGTCAGTTAGCAAACCTTTTTATTTTCAATGCCACAAAAACCATTTTTTAAAAAAAGAAATTCTTTGCTGTTCCCAAACTTGAAAGAAGGATAAAAATAGGATTGTTTAATGTGACTAATTCCTTTTATCCTTGCTTGCTTCACTAAAAATGTCTTTCAGGTTGGAAGGTGTGTGGAAATTGGCATTCCAATGCTCATCCTTTTTGTAGCCTTCTCCCAGGTATTTATACACTTTCCCTCTCTGCCAAATTTTTACTTGCAGTGTAAAGTTGATGAGGATCTTCTTACCTATTATGGTTTTTTTTTTTGTTTTGTTTTTGTTTTTTGTGTGTCCACAGTACCTGAAGAACTTCCATGTGAGACAGCTACCAATACTGGAACGTTTTGCTCTTCTAATATCAGTGACAGTGATATGGGCATATGCGCACCTCTTGACAGCCAGTGGTGCATACAGGCACCACTCTGAACTGACCCAAGTCAATTGCCGAACAGACAGGGCCAACCTCATTTCTTCTGCACCATGGTTGGAATCAATAATAACTCCTTTTCATTTAATTCTTGGTAATTTTGTTGGACTAAAAAAAGCAGACACGCAACACAAATTCATTGCTATTCTAAGTAGGCCATGGCATTTGAAATGTGAGGCTGTTGAGACATATTAATTATGTGACAAATTGACAATTTCCTTTTTTTTTTTTTATAACAATAACAGGATAAAGATCCCATACCCTCTTCAATGGGGTGCTCCTACGTTTGATGCTGGTCATGCCTTCGGAATGATGGCTGCTGTTCTAGTCTCATTGATTGAGGTAGATATCTCAACTAGATTTTAGGCAAAAGCTGCAGTTGAGCAAATTGACTGGTCCTAACAAAGAATTTATCTATCATAGACCAATGTTACTTTAGACCAACGTTACAACCTTTCAAAAATATAAACGGAATAAATGTAATGTTACACCTCCACTTCTGCATATTATAGTCTAGGATCGGTCCTCCACAAGGAATGAATATTATTTGTTTGTTAAGTCACAATGTAAAGGGAGATTATTTTTGAGTTGACAGTCAACTGGAGCATACAAAGCTGCATCACGTCTAGCCAGTGCCACACCACCGCCGGCTCATGTTCTCAGCCGAGGTATTGGCTGGCAGGGAATAGGGATCCTTCTAAATGGACTATTTGGGACATTGACTGGCTCAACAGTTTCTGTGTAAGTCATGTTTCCCATCTTTCTTTCTTTTTCAGACTCTTACTAGTTAATGCAACTGCACTAATTTCTTCTTGGGAACAAAAACAGAGAAAATGTGGGCCTTCTTGGAAGCACTCGTGTTGGAAGCCGCAGGGTTATTCAAATCTCAGCTGGTTTCATGATATTTTTCTCAATTCTAGGTAGCTGATATATAATTAAAGAGGGGTAAAAAATTACCGCTAACTCTTGTCTGTTATCTGACTTTTAACGTTCCAACTCTCTGGCAGGAAAATTTGGAGCTTTGTTTGCATCAATACCCTTCACCATATTTGCAGCCGTGTACTGTGTTATGTTTGGTCTTGTTGGTAATTATATATTCTCAAAACTGCAAACCTTTGTTTTATCACTTACAGACTCTCTTCTTTAAATTTCAAATCCCTTCATCTGATTGCTAAATTGTTTTCTCTACCAGCTTCTGTGGGGCTATCATTTTTGCAATTCACAAACATGAACTCCATGAGGAACCTTTTCATCACAGGGGTTGCTCTCTTCTTAGGCCTATCTATTCCGGAGTACTTCAGGGAATATACTTCTAAAGCCCTTCACGGACCTTCTCACACCGGGGCTGGATGGGTGAGCATAACATCTAGAACAATGCTAGGGATGTACTAGTGGTGTTCAACATCATACGCTAATAGAAAGTGGGTCCCACAACATGAGGTTCGTGAATGGGACACACTTTCTATTTGTTGGTGGTGCATACCAACGGTGCCTTTAGACATTTTTCATTGTCCATAACTTACCAAGAGGGAAACTTTTTATTTCTAAAGTAAAACTCCGGTTTATGTGCAGTTCAATGATTTCCTGAATACCATCTTCTTCTCATCCTCAACTGTGGCATTGATTATTGCCGTTTTCTTGGACAACACACTTGATTACAAGGACAGTGCCAGAGACAGGGGAATGCCATGGTGGGTCAAGTTCAGAGCTTTTAAAGGAGACAGTAGAAATGAAGAGTTCTACACACTTCCCTTCAACCTCAACCGGTTCTTTCCTCCATCTTGAAGTGGTGCCGTGCCCATCATCAAAATGTAAGTTGAACTTGATCAGAGGAAAAGCATCACAGAGGAAAAGCATCATTTCCTGCTAGGGGACCATCATGATCAGAAACACAAAAGAGCAACTAATAGCTGTTCTGAAATTCTAGGAGACGACTTCCCTCCTTTTCATTTATATATATTTGACTCGGATTATTCGGGTTTAATCTAATAAATTAAATTTTTGGGTGCTTCTTTGCTACCCTATTTTTTTATTTTTTATTAAATTTTTGCTTCCCGTGCCTTTTTTTTTTTAATCACATCTTTTTCTTACAAAAAAGCATTGAAATGGAAAAATCGCAGTTCCCAGTTCCAACAAACAGTACTTGCAGCCCTATTCATCCACTATTTTCCCCTTAAAATTTGAGTGTTCAAGGGAAAAATCCTTCTCAAAGAATTTTATGATTTTGCCAACTTCTCATGTTCAAAGTGACACTGCAATAATGATGGCTGGTCATAATCATTTCAAACAGACAACGAAGGAAATGCTCGACAAAGGGGAAGGAAAACGGTTATGGTTCATATTATTTGAAAGGAAACTCGCGTTTTTTACTTAAAAAAATTAAGTAAATGGTAAAAAGATCTTTCATATATGCAACTATTCTAATTCAGTGTCCTACTCACATGTGCTAATTCTAAACAAGGAATGTTTAGAAACAAAGAAAGAAACTAGCTATTCCAACATTGCAAGTGCTTGTCCAGAAAGGTCTTCCTCAAGCATCAGAATCTATATGGTTCCTAAGCTGTACAAACTCATCAATCCATTCATGGAATCTGCAAGTACAACAAAATCTATGTTAATGTGTGTGTATGAGAGGCAGAGAGGGACGGAAAGAGAGCTCCACTTACATGTTTATTGGCTCAGTTAAATCTGCAAATACAAGACCAAAGCAAATTCAGAATCATATGAAATTGGAGGTTCAAAAAGAATAGAAAAAAAAAAGAACCATCTAATATTTCATATCCTCAAAAAGACTGGAATTAAGACAAACCTGTCACAGAAGTACTGTAGCTGGAATTGCAAACAAAGCAAGCAACACTTCCAATCCCCTTGTCCCTTTCACCGAGGCCACAAAATGTCAATAGTAAGTACAAATTTACACACACACACACACGTACATATTGTAATGACTGAAAAAATCCAAGACTTTAAATAATACAATTTATGTATTTAAGCTAAGAATTTTCTTAGAAAATACTATGTTATATTTTCTAACTGAAGGATTTATAGAATTAACATCTGTATTCCTAAATTCTGTAGTAGATTTCATGCTAAGTTCATATTTTACGATCAAGTAAATTCGATCGATAAATTCTCACCGTACTTTAAGGCAGAAGAATTTTCAGTACATATGTAGTTTGAGAATCTTAATTCCAAGAATCTCCGAGCACAACATGATGTTAGCAGCGTATAAAAAAAAACGCTCTGACATTTTAAAAGAAGAGAAAATCCTTAATTGCCAGACAGCTAGGTTAAAGTCACAAGATAAATGCCTATAGTAGAAGGGTACAATGTGAGCTCGGGAGTTGACACCATCAGAAACAATGTCATTCCCGGGATATAATGCAGAAATTTAAGTTTAGAATTTGTTTAGTCTGGAATAAATTTCAAGACTTGAAACAGTTTGAAATATTGCGCGAATAAGAATTTAACGTGATATTGAAGTAGTCAGGGATTAATATTGAACTGTAAATAAACAGTAGAAAAGGAACCGTCAGAAACTAGAATTTCCTGTCGGCTAAGTACTTCCTTGCCGTCAGTATAATTTTTGACAGTTTCAAAGGAAACTTAAGAGACTGGACAAAAGTACAAGGGGTAGGTAATATTTTTCTCTCTCCTTCTCCACTTGGCCGGCCATGCATAGTGAAATTAGAGCTAAATTTTGACTATTTGAGTGTGCTAGAGGGTTTCATGTTAAGGTGTGATGTGATAGTAGTGGTTGAAGGGGAAATCATGGCATACTTGCTTCTTCTTATCTCCACCTAGAACCGGCCATGCTTGGGAGATTGGAACTCAAAATCTAGTTGAATTAATGGAGTGGATTTAGTGTTAAAAAAAAGACTACCAACTTGTCTATAAAAGGGACCATCATAAGCTAGGCCTTATTTTTTTTTACTCTTCTCATTTTTGCTCCACCCCAAAACCGGCCACACTACACTATTTCCTCTCAAAAATTTTCTCTCACTCTCCCAACCTTAAGCCACTAGCAAACAATAGAAGAAGAAGGAGAAGATCAAAGGGTTTTAGGAGGAGTCTAGTCAAGCATCTCTACAAGGGTATATACTCTAAATCTCTCTTTTTTATGTTCTAGTAAAGTTTGAGATGTAGAAATTGTAATGACTGAGAAAATTCCAGACCTTAAATAATACAATTCATGTATTTTTAAGCCAAGGATTTTCTTAGAAAATATTATGTTATATTGTGAATGGAGGATTTATGGAATTAATATATGTATTCCTAAATTCTATAGCAAATTTCATGTTAAGTTCATGTTTCGATCAAGTAAATTCGATCGATAAATTCTCGCCGTATTTTAAGGCGGAATAATTTTCAGTACAAGTATAGTTTGAGAATCTTAATTTCAAGAATCTCTAAGCACGGCACGATGTTAGCGGCGTATAAAAAAAAAACGCACTGGCATTTTAAAAGAAGAAAAAAATCCTTAATTGCTAGACAGTTAGGTTAAAGTCGCAAGATAAATACCTATAGTAGATGGGTACAATATGAGCTCGGGAGTTGACACTGTCAGAAATGTCATTCTCGGGATAGAATACAGAAAATTAAAATTTAGAATTTGTTCAGTCTAAGATTAATTTTAAGACTTGAAACAGTTTGAAATATTACGCGAGTAAGAATATAAAACAATATTGAATTATTCAGAAATTAATATTGGACTGTAAGTAGTAGATTAACTTACGTGAGCTAAACTAATTACCTCTAATCAGTATAAATTTAATCTGTTTAGAGGAAATAATTGAGGATAAGATCAGGCACGTAATCTTGCCTTAATCAGATACTTTATATAGTGAAATTTTTAGGGTTCTTGCACTTTCTTTCTCTTATTCTCGCTCATTCTCTCCTCTCACGTTTTCTCTCACACAAACCATCAATGGCCAAATACTCAAGTTAAGATTCTGACCTCCATTTTTGACACCGCCGGTGTCAATAGAAAGATCTCGACGAGCTGAGTTCAACGACATGCGGCACGACCTCCAACCCCG